AATTTTCACCAGCCACAAGTCAAAAACAAAGGGATAGCTAGAGGTGAATGGAGATGGTATTGGAATGTGTTGCGTGGGTAATTCGCCGCTGCATGGTTTTTTGGTCTCTTTCCGTGTACTCCGCTGGACCTGACTGGGGTCTGTCTTTCCATTTCCTTGCAAAGTCTTGGGATTCAGCCGGGTGGTCAAGAGAACCAACGACCTGTCAGGGAAGGAGAGGTTTCTTTGATCATCTCCCGCCGCGGATTCAATACGGGCTTCTGGGTATGGAGGGAACACGCTTGCTGTTGGATAGTGTGCTTGCGCAGAACCATCCAATTCGTGTACCGCCTTCGATACAGATTTCGCTCAAAGGTTAATTGGCACACTCAAGTCGAGATCTTCTGCATCGTATAGAAAAGAGTCCTGTGTCGTCTGGAGTGGTGTATTGTACCGCTGCTCGCAGAATCGTACAGTTCGTCAGGGTCGGGAGCCTTGTATGATCATTTTTCCTGGTTTTCCTGTTCCGTCACATGATATAAACCTTCTTAACCTGATCCCAGGTGAAACTTTGACCAGTGGTGGGATCTCTCACTTCTCCTTCCTTGCCGATCTGTACATCTTGTATGCCTCCGTCTCCACCTGCGCCGCCACCCCCAGCCATGACAAGTTTCCGCTGCAGCTCTTCCAGCCGTTCGCGGCCGTAAATGCGCCCATTCGGCAAGACGACAGGATCCGGTTCTACAGAACTAACGGTGTGATGTGCATAGGGGACATTGCGTGCCAGATCATTGAGCTCCATGCTGCAGATCGGGCACAGAGAGGAATTCGTGGCGATCCGGGCGTGGCCCGGTGTCGAAGAACTGGCGGGGTTATAGGCGCTGTGGCACGCGGGCGTTTTCAATGCTGAAAGGCCCGCCGAGAGAGCGACGTGGAGGAGGGGCTGAACTGGCAGAGAGAGTAAGGTATGATGGGTTTCGACGAATAAGTTGGATAAATGGTGCCACCGCGACGGGGCAAACAGTGTCCGATATGGTTCGGCTTCCGTGTCGGGTGATTGGACCAATAAACCTGCTGCCTGCATGATCGACTCTGATCGGGACCCAGTGTGCGGCGTCAGATGTTGTTGGGCATGAAGTCTCGCTTCGAGTTTCTTGGCGGTCGTCCCTGCGCGGACGAGTTCAATGAATTGCTGAAAACGGAGTTCAAATTCGAGATCGGTGGTTTTGTGCGGCGCAATGATGAGTTTCTTGAGGGAGTTTTTGTTCTCATTGATCCAGGCCAGGGCCTCCCTGGTTTCGCCCCGGGTGAGTGAAGAGGCAATTTTATGGCAAGTAACAAATGTATCGAGGTCAATCAGATGAGAGATCTGTTTGGATTCGGCGAGCGAGGCGGCTGTCTTGGAGTAGCCTGAGCGGAGAAGGTAGTCGACAATTAAGCGGTCCAGACGCGTTCGAGACCACTGGTCGTACTTCACGTCCACGAGAGAGGGGATGTCATAGAGGTCTTGTAAATGCTTGATTCGCTTGGCCGAATGGTCATGGAGAGCTTCTTCCTCAATGTGTAGCTTTTCCACCTTGCGTTTGAAGTTCTGCATTCTTTGGATCATGGCGTCAAGCGAGGCGAGTGTCTGCTCCGTGGTTTGGGATGAGCTGAGCGCAGCATTTGCGGCATCCTTGAGGGCGGGGAGGATGTAGTCTCTCTCGCGCTCTACATAGCGTTGTGTATTTCTGAAATTGCGTTTGACGAGTTCATGCGGGAGGCGAAGAAGAGGCTGATCCTGTAGTCACACCGTCAGTCACTCTCGAGTTTGCATAACATGCCCGGCCAGTGGGGTTCCTTACTAGCAGGACATGGCTGTCTGCGTTGAGTTTGGTGGCGGAGAAATCTGCAGCCATTTTGAGGATGCAAGAGGTGATGTGTGAGACTATGCCTGCGGACCTGGCAACTTATATCGAAGATCAATCCATGCACTCATGTACAAGGTCTGTCATTCATTCAAGTGGCGGTTGGTGACTTTGGTCAAGTGAGTGAAATCGTCGAGTCCGGGGCGATTGCGGACAGACGACCCGCCTCGCCGCACATCAAGCTGAGTGCTCCGAAGTAGATGCTACGGCTGAGCAAAATACTCGAAAGAGCAGTGGAACAGAAACGAAGTCACTCTAGGCAGTAAGCACTTCCATTTCGATAATACCAAAATTGTCCTTGTTTTGTGCAGCTTTATGTTGCACAGTGTGCCTCTCTCGACTTTGCAATCGTTTTCGCCTTGCCTCCGACCTCATTCAAAAGGCACGATCTCGAAAATGGCAGCAGCAAATGCATATCTTGGGCTATGCACTCCGAACACGGGACACAAGTTAGGCACCCTATGCTAGTTGTGGCCTCAGCATACGCCCCCGCGATCCCTCGGTGGCTTGTGGAAGAAGGCTCATCTGTAGCTAAGTTATCTTTCTGCTTGAAACGATGAACAAAGGGCCGGACAGAATCGTTGTGCAGAACAGCTAGGCATCAGCATTCAAGATCTTGAGGTCAGGTCCCAGTGACCGAGTGTCCATTCCACCCCTATTTATTCTAGGCCAACGACTTCACTCAGTGTCACCGAGGCACAACGACTGAATTGCGCCACATCAAAACGGCCAGGCAGTTCTCCTCGTCTTGGTGATCGAACATATGAGTTCGGCCGGCTCCTGATGATGCCGGATCCCTTGGCCTTTCTACCCGAATACGATGTACGCTTTGCACAGCCTCGAGGGCGGAGAGAATCCTTCGAGGTCTCGGATTGCTTTTCCCCGTCAATATCCATACCATGATGACGGCTGATGTGGCCAAGCTCCGCCTTCTTACTCCGTGTAAGCAATTGCTTCGCAAAGCTTTAAAGGCCTGAGAAATATCGTGGTAGCTAGTAAGAAGTCCCCCTGCAGTTTTCGCCGTCCAAGTGTTCTTCTATCACCATGGCTGTCTCGCTGTCTTCGGGTGTTCTCGCCGCCGTCGCCATATTTCAATTGGTTCTCGGCTTCATCGCTCTGATCCTGGCGGCCTTCTCTGGCGTTTGCTTCGGCGCCGAGTTTGCGTACGGCGTGGTCTGGTGGTCGGTAAGTGGAAGTCTGGTCCATGGTGTGGCCTTCTCTGCACGAAATAATACTGAGTGCAGAACATTGTTTAGTTTGGTTGGACACTGGTCATTTCTTGCCTTCGTTGGTGGACTCATGATCTCCGGCGCTCCACCACAGAACAGATGATTCATCTTGCTTTTGAAGTTTTCACTCTTGCCAACTGGGTGGTCGCCACTGGTGTCCTCGTTTCCTTGAACATACATCTGCACAATCTCTCCGAGACATACGCATATGATGTTAAAAATGATATCCCGCTGACGGGCGAGTTGATATCGCATCAATTTACCAGCTTGGGTTTAGGTGGGCTCTACTGCAGCTATGCGGTGAATGCAGTTTCGGGTATAATCGTGTAAGTCAAGTTGCGTTAAGTGTACCTTTGCTACTGACATATATGGAAGCTTTTTGCTCTTGCTTTCGACCTATGGAAGCGTCAAGCTCCTGAGGCTGTCAAGAGAAGCGCCAGGGAGCGATCATTCCGAGAAGAATTATTCGTACGAGAACCTCTCGACGCAGGAGAAATTTGTGCGAAAAGCCGGGTCCTATTGAAGGGAGAGCGTGCTTCCGGGACATATGATTCGCAAGATCAGATGAAGATCAAACTGAGCTCTCGCAGAGCCCATTTGATGGCAATCCCCTACACGACTGTCTCAGAGCTTCATCCTACAAGAGAATATCCGAGATCCTTTCCGCTACCCATGTCCACCAATCTCTTCCGCATGGCCTCGGCCCTCTCGCCTTTGGGCCCTTCGATTGAGAACGGTGCTCTGTCGACCCACTCTCCAACGGCGTGCTGCAATACCTGTCGGGCGCGCTCGGTTCCGTGGCCTGCTAATCCCACGGATCCGTGCAAAGTCATTCGGCCCAGCTCACTAGACGTATCGATGCCCTTGTACACGCCGCGGTGAAGGATGTTGCTGTCATAAAAGACCGCATCTCCAGGGTGTAATTCGACAAGGACCTGTCCGGGTAGATTTGGCTCGTAGGGCGCGGCTTGCCTCTCGGTCTCGGTCCTTACTCGCCGATGACTGCCGGGCACCACAACAAGAGAAGTGTCTTCGAAAAGCGCAATGTTGTATTGTGCATGTAACTGTTGACCCTCGGGACTTTTCTCCTTGAGTTGCCTCCCTTCCTCCTCGGGAGTTACATCAGGCCGGATATCGTCTCGATGCCAGCAAAGCTCAAAATCCACCCGGTCGGCCGGACTGACCAGGAGATTGAACAGTTCCATCACAAGCTTGTCGTCGCCTGTAGGATCGCCCTTGAGGCCGACGAGCTCTTTGACGACGTCAAGCACTTCGTCGGAGAAATAGACCTCAGCAAAGGTATCTCGGACATTCATGTCAGGGTGAAGAAGGTGCTGAACGCCCCAAATGTTGTCGCCTGGCGTCCATTCCTGCCAGGGTGGGTATTGCTTCGGCACCGTACGGACGTATGGCCATTTGCCATTTCTCGCCCGCTCGGTGGTGTATTTGCAACATCCCCTCAAGGCTAACAAGACGTGTGATGGCAGGAGATGAGGAATCTTGACGAAGCCATCTCTGCGGAGGGCGTCCAGATATGGAGTTGATGACACCATTTTTCTTGTGCTGGATGTCTCGATGAGGATCTCTCGTTCCAGATGGAGATGGAACAATGTATTGATAGTGGAGGAGCGCTGAGAAAGAAGGATTCTAAGTACGGCACCGATCTCAATTTGAATCTAAGAGTAAATCTCAACTGCATCTGAACTGCACCTGAACCTGGAGGAGCCAACCTTGGTGCTGGGGCTGGTCAACTGGTGAGCTCTGATTGAGGGGCGGCGACTGAGCGACTCCCCGCACCAGCACCACCAAGCGAGCAGGGGACAGGCGAGCAGAGCACAGCTCAAACAGCTGTGTCTCCTCCTTTTCCTTTACCAAATCGCCTCCCTCATATTATATACATGTGTTTCATTGATGCCCCTGTCGAGACCTTGTCCAGCGGCCATTGAACTAGCGGAATGAACTCGACAGGCAACATGCGTGCAATCCCGTGTACCAGGCGAGCACCCACCCCCTCCAACCACCAAATATCCGTGAAAGCATCCAGAGCCACGCCGTAATGTGCGAGGATCACAAGCGCCATTTGATCCTGTGCTCGGAGCAGCCGCACCAAGTCCGCGCCCACGTAATGAGGCCAACCGATCATGTCATCCAACATCCGCCTCTCGCTGTCCTCGGTGGGGAAAGCGTTGGTCAACATCTCGATGCTGCGCACATAAATGGGCATGTTGGCTGTCGTTTCAGTCTCCGAGCTCGGTCCCGGCTTCTCGTCCAGATGCCGCAGGTAAGACAAGAGACTGCCGAGGACGGTTCGTGGGTCCTCGATCAGCTCGGGCAGGATGCTTTGAGGCTCGGTCCCCCTCTCCATCAGAGGCTTCATGCCGCCTTGTCGCAGCCATACTTCGCCTTCAAAGGCAATAACAGTCGCGCCTATCACATATTCAAAGACGGAAATGACTTCAGCAACGTACTTGTGGCTGTCGATCTCGCCGTCCAACACGGAGATGAAAGAGTACTCTGTGAGAAGGGATTAGATTGTGTTGACTTCCCAAGATCTTGTCCAGACGCCTCCTTCGACATCCAAAGGTCTCTCCGAGGGAAGGGAAACTTACGGATGGCCAGGAGCAGAGCCGAAAACGCAAAAAGAGCGTGATAATTCTCTGGTGTGATATCTTGGAGCTGTGGGATATATCCCTCCAGCGCTCTGTCCTGATGTTGACTAGCAAGGTCGAGGTATTTTGTCTGCAGCGGGAGAGGAGATGTATACCGAATATGCATCGCTGCCAGCGCCAGCAAGCCGTGCTTCAAAAAGGGCTGGTTTAAGGCAAGACCCGGAACAGTCACCTGCCACATTGGAAATACTTCGTGGCGGTCATCCATGGTGAAGCAGGTAACTTCTGACCAGCGCCGGATGAGTTCCTCATCATACAGGTTGAGACTGTCGCTTTTTTGTTCGGGACTTTGGGCGCTGGCTGATGCTTGAGGCGTACTGCTCGAGCTTTCACCCGATGATTGCACAAGCGGTCCGCCAAGGGGGTCGGAGTCCAGAAATGAGCAACGTCCACCGAGCCTGTTGCAGTTGGCACAGATGGGACGCTCTTCGCCACATCTGATTCTTCTCTGCTTGCAATTGGCACATCCATGACGAGACTTGGTATGGAATCGGCGGGATGGCATGTCGTCCCGTGCCTCTGCCGTCGGTGACTTCGAGTCCCAGTTTGTACTGATCAGCAGTGACGAGGACACGAACGGGGGATTTTGAAAGCTCTCTTATAGTCTTCTGGCCCTTCGCATTTCTGCCCTCCTCTCGGCCATGCCAATAGGGACTCGGCTGAGGGCTCATGGTGCGCAGTTGACTGGCGTTTTCAACCGAGAACAATTGACCCCTCAAGGAAGCCGATAACGAGCGGCGGACCATCCGTGCAACTAATTCCAGACTACCAGCTCGTATGCAGAGCAGAGCGGCAATCATGAAGCTGCGGCATAGGAACAAGGCTGCGATGAGTAGGGTTTGAAGACATACCCACGAGCCATGAACCTAGGGGTCCGTGGGCGTCGGAGCTAACACGAGCCCAGTCCTTGGGCAGATCCCTTTCACCGAACCAACTTAGGGCCGATGCTATACCGCTTACATATATCCAAGAAAATCCCGCGCCCGAATGCAAGGCTGCGCATACTGGCTTGGGCGGAATGGTCTCCGCAACAAAACTCGGCTCGTCAGACCCTAAATTCTCGAAAACGGTGCCCTGTCGTGAGAGAAATAGACCTCTTACATGCTTGTACATGCTATGATAGCATAAATAAGCAAGTATATTCATACCACTATGGACCTTGCTCACCACCAGCAGTCACATTGCTGGCTTCCAGCGGCTTGAAGACAACGCCAAAAGAGAGCAGTGCGGCTGTAACGAAAAGGGGCTTCGGCTTAGTCATCCAGGGGGTTTGTGCTAGTTACCGACCGTCACCGAGAGTCAATATCTCCACCGCCTGCGCGCTGACTTTGTTCATCAACAAGTGGTGGAAACTTTTGCTTTCTTCTGCCTAAGAAGCCCTCCAGTCGATCGGCATCCATCGTCGCCAGACTCCAATCCAAATCGCCATTCAACAACAAATATGACTTTCCGGTTGGAATTTGTGGAGGAGGATCAAGCTCTCGAACTTGGCCCTGCGATGAAACTCGGGCTCTTTGGCTGTCTACCCACCTGTCCAGACTTTGGAATTACTGCCACGACCACTGAAAGGGAATGTCGCGGCAGGCGTTATCGGATCCTGATGTCAACCATCGACCTTGCCGGAAACGCCATGGGGACGTATGAGATGACGACCGGAACCCTCTACTCATTCTTTGATCCTCTCACCTAGGCTTGGGTACGACAGAGTGGCTCTTTGAATGGCGTGATTCGACTTGTGGACGATGGCCACAAACAACTTACAATCCCGACTGATCATGAGCTGTTTCGGCCGAAAGCTGTTCTTCCGGGTGAGTCGGTTTCCCCCACCACCCCTTTTTTTGTCCTTTTCCTTCTTTTCTCTCTTCTACCGTGAGTAGATCTGTTTCGTCTGCTCTTTTGGGAATATGCCCTACCGTCGAATCATAGGTTAGGTATCTTTCTTTAGTTTAAGGTAAGTTTCCCAACAAGTTTACTTTACTTCTGATCAAGTTGTAGATATATTCCGCGCGAAACACCCAGTTATAATAGAGATATATTACGTTTCGCTATATCATGGTCATGGGGAGGTCTGTCAACGTGACTGAAGCCAATTTCGGATCATGAGTGACAGCCCTTTGAAAGGTCATTCCCCTCCCATCACGCTCCGTTTGGCTGTCGACACCCAAACAGAATGAAATTCCAGACCAAGAGTGCCTTGGTCAACCCCGTTGTCTCCAACCGCAGTAATATGTCTTTAGTGATCTCTGTATGGTTCTGCTCTTCACAACGAATGCCGAACAAGGCACAAAGGAGAGAGGCAGCACCAAGAGACACCAGTGCCTTAACGCTTTTCTGCCTCCTCTACCAACTGCTTCAATTTGCTCATGCAAATAGAAAAGCCCGAACTGCCTGCAAACGCATCTATACTGTTTCTTCCCCACGACACATCCAAACAACATCCCCTAGGAAATCTACCATCCACCATGAAGGTCAAATCGAGATCTGCAATTCCGCTATTCGTGTTTTTGGCCATTGCGATGTTTTTCGTGCCTTGCGCAATTCTCGTCTTCATCTGCTTCCATCGAACATACAGGAGAAAAGTAGACGAGAAATCGAGAGGTGAGGTCACAGGCGCAGTCGCTGAGAGCATGCCGAACTGGACAGTACCTATCGAGCTGGGCAACATTCAACCACTACCACCACAACCACCGCCAGTGGCAAAGATACTGCCCATCCGCTCATGGCAGACAAGAAAGAGTAGACATCTCTCTACGAGGCACAGTGCCATAGAAGGGATGAATACACTGTTCGAAAAGCGCAGTCCACCGAACGCAAAGGACGTTGCAGCTCCTACGCCAACCAGGCCCGGCCAGAGACACAGTATGACAGCGCAGAATATGCAGGAATATCTTGCAGCAGAACAATCTCCTCAGAACCCCTTCGATGACCCGGTTACGGCTCGGTCGAGCCCATTACACAACACCACTACGCACTACAGCCTCCCAGCGGCGCTGGTCACGGAGCAAAGCCCCGCGGAGATTCAAGTGCGGCGGGTCGCAGAAAGATCAGCAGCCTTCATAAGTGAGGCACCAAGGGTGAAGAGTCAGATCGCCAAGCACGAGCATGCGGTGGCGGCGACGTCTCCCTCTCCGCGTGTACCGAGTGTCAATGCGGCCTGTTATGGCCCTCCGAGACAGGTGCCTAAGGCGTGGATATGAGGGCTGGCCGGGACGAGAAAAAATTTGGAAGATAGATAATAATAATTTAAAGAGAAGAAAAAAAGAGGAAATAGCATCGAGTATAGAAATCTTTCAACAACGTGACAGGAATTTTAAGAGGCCCTCTGAACGAGTTCTTTACTTTGCCCTTGTTGCCATATTTCATGTATGATGCCTGAAGGGATTGTATATTCTGGGCCGGCTTCCTTCCTCTTCTTTTTCCCATCAATTTTGCAAGAGGCATGAATTTTTTGGTACGGCGCGGGCGTTCAGTGGGCTCAGGGGCTGCAGCGGCGTCCACAATAGGGGGACGCCAGCCTCGACTTCAGGACGGCAACTCAAGTCTCGTGTTCTGTTCTAACGTCTAGCATTCTATTCTTCGCGAGTCTATCGTTCCAGTATACTATCGTTCTAGTTAGGCGTAGTGCGTTAGTTGTACATCCAAGTTCTGTGGCACCACCTTTTAAAGCGCTATTCTCGTCTCCTGCCCTTCAAGTCTTTCAACATCCCACGAACGGCCCGGGCAATCTCATGTCGCCCGTCATAAAACGGGTAGATGACGACGACGAACATGGCGCCGAAATGCCAGATGATAGCCATAGTGACCCAACCGCCGAAGAAGCTCTTGGTGAAGATCCAGTCCCGGTACAGAGGCAAGGGCCAAAGGACGATGGTGACGATGACGTTGACGACAAAAAAGACGCTGGCGATTTTGAACCACTTCTTGATGTGTCGGATTGTCTCTGCGTCAAATGGGTGGACAACCTCGTCGAGAGGGACTTGAGCGTTCGGGCGAGTGCGTGGCGGACTCGCGAGTGGGCCGATCTCCCCTCCACCGGTGAGGTATGCCTCTTTCTCGTGGGCTTCTTTCTCGAAGCGGCCCGCGGCCTTGGGAGTCTCGTTCACGGCTTCGCTACTGGGTAGTGTGGACTGCAGAGAGCTGCTTGGTTGGCTCTTGTCTTCGATAAGGTCAATCCTTAGGAACTCACGCCAGTCGAAACGGCTTGGCCATGCTAAGGATATGACGACAGAATAGATTGCCGGGGAGAAGAAAGAGACGATGGCTGCGTAAAGACCTGGCACCTGATCCTGCGTTGTTTGAATGTTGATTGCCCCAGACCACAACCATGACAGCGAAAGCCAGGTCGCAACGCCCGACAGAAGCCCAAGAATGGGACTCAGGATGGCCGCCAACTTTGTTTGCCTGGACCAGAGGAGTGTTAAGATCATGGGCAAGATGCCAGGACATGCGACGATGGGTCGGAAGTAAGTGGACCAGTTGTTCGTTGCGCCAGCGTACTCGAGCATGATGGCAAAGCCAGCCATAAAGCAGCCGTGGAAGACAACCCCCCAATGGCTCACCTTGAGCGTTTTGCGGTCCGACGCATATGGGTCGATGTAGGTGCGGAAAAAATCGAGGGAGATGATACTGCTAACAGCAATCATGGACGAAGAGACTGTGCTGGTGATGGCCATGAAAATGAGCACAAGCAGGCCGGCGGTGGCACCAGTGCCCAGGAGGGACTTCAACACGTATGGCATCACGAGGCCAGAGTTCACTTGAGTGGTTGTCAAAGTATTGGGATAGTCGAACCAGACGGGAGTCTTTTCGATTGCACGGGCGCTCAACCCGATAATGGTTCCGGTGCACCAAGGGATAGCAAGGATGACGATGGATACAAGGTCATAGGCTGGAACGGTCGAGTGCACTTCGGAAGCGAACGATTTCTGCCAGAAGGCTGTGTCCATGAGGACCAGTGCGAGATTTCCGAACTTCAACACCAGGCCAAAAAGGAGCGCTGTATCAAACATTAATAGAACTTCTGACATAACATGACACACTTGACTTACAACTCCTCGACTTCATGGTCAAAAGCGAGCCTTTGTAGTTGCCGGGAATATAATCGTTCGTCGCTTTGACTTTGTCGTACAAACCCGAGAGGCCGCCAATGTGCTCGTTGGTCAAGACTGCGAGAGAGAAGTAGATCAAGAGAATCAGAGCGATGGTGGTATGCAAAAAGTCGGTTAAAAAGGTCGCCTTGAGCCCTCCCACGGCTGTATAGGTGACGACTTTGAAAAGCAAGAAGATCAGCATCTAAACCAACCATTGATCAGCGAGCTACTCACCCCCTGCAGGAATTAGGATACATGCAGCGATAACGTGCATTCCCGTCATTCCAGTCACCAACTGAGCGCCTGCAAGGATCATACTGCCACAGCCAAAAACGTTGTTGATCAGGTTCAGTAGGATGAACAGCCAATGCGCATATTTCCCGTATCTCATTTTGATGATCTCGAGCGAGGTATGTGCGTATGGTACCCGCAGCTTTGCTACGATCCCGAGCACGGCCATGAGAGCGATCTGGAAGGACAGTCCACTTGCCCACCATACGGGAAGGGCGACACCCCACTTGTATGTATAGGCGGCGGAAAAGACACTTTCATTGATCCACATCCTAGGTCCAGGCGCAATGGTGAACACATATACTTCACATCACCAGTATTCGAACTTACCAACTCGAGAAGACGGCTGAGGCCGTCAATCCAGTCCCGACGGAACGATTTGCGACCATGAACATCTCCGACTGATCGCTGTCCTCTGATAGATACCTCTTCTGTATGCGGACTGCAGCGATGATAATAAGGCAGAACAGCACTGAAAGCCCAATGATAATGCCATAACCATCAGCCTGAGTGAGAAGCTGCACAGCCATCTTGGAATTCAAGCAATTTTCGGCAATGATAGAGTAAGACGAGACAATAAATTCCAAGGGAGTACATTCTCGAACTACTTATACCATCGTTGTATGCATCCACAATCCGTGTGATATGTAAACAGGCGCATATGGTATCATCGATGTACTGTGTAGTGCTCACCTGCCGCTAACCGTACCTGTTAGGTACCAAAAAAATCTGACAGTAATGTTATCTGTTGATTGCGGAGCGTAAATCTTTTCTATTCGTTGAGATACCTGCGTGGAATGAAAATCGCGTGGTAATGTGGTGGAGCAGCAGGATGGCGTTATGCGGCTCTCGCAGCACGCAATGAGAAGTCGAATCCCACAAGTTGATGGTCCGCTTCAAACGTGGCAAGCTGCTAGACATTTAGCGTGATGCGGTGATTGACGATGTTTGACCAAGGCCATACTCCGGGAGCAGACTTAACAGATAGTGGGAGGAATCAATTCTTGCAGTTCGGTTTCCCGTGCCGCAAGACTCAGGGAGTACCGCATATGGATGATCCCGTATCTTCACAACCAACTCATCAATCGCCCTTGTATTGGCGTATTGCGGATCGCATTCACGCAGACTGGTCGCGCCAATATTCCGTATGGCGACCTCGAACTCGTCCGTGAGGAGGTCGAGCAGCTGCTTTACGCCTGAGAATGTATATGAAGTTTCAGGATATCTCTTTGGTTGTAAGAGTTTTTTTTTTACGGGCGAACATGCCTGAAAAGCCCTGGAACCCAATCCATAACCTCTTAAACCAGGTCCTGTCTCGCCTGGAGAGGAAAGGCTGGCTGGCAGCATTGAGCCGCCCTGTCCCGAGGGCAACCATATCACCACTACAATGCTTGACCCCGCGCGCTCCATTCATTGGGCCTGAGGAAACAACCTGAAATAGGAGCACCCGTGCTGTTGCAAGTGAGATGTGTATTTGCCGAGTCTCTTTTGCATGTCTGTCCGTTGCCCGGCCGTGCAGCCAGAGTCGGATAGCATGTCAGGTCAGCTATCGGGATAGGATATTGGACCGCACATTGCTTATGGAGGAGCTTCCAGTCATCCTCCATATGTAGATCCCGCGATTTTGGATGTGTACTGCGGGAACTTTGTGTTTCCAAGATTGAGCTGCCAAGTGCTCTGGCATTGGTTCTGGGAGATCACCGTTCAACTTCAATCGAGACGCCGTATAGATGAGGCCAGTAGGCAGCGAACGAGAGAAGTGGAAGAGAGGGTGCCACAGTGTCTCGAGTGCTCTAATGCCTCTTGTCTGTTGAGAAAGAAGAGAGTCAGTCGCGAGAAACTCAGCAAGAGGGCGAAGGAAAGGGGCTCTAGGCTAGTCCTCCATTGGCCTAGCGTCTAGTGTCATGTGACTGAACAACTTGGAGATGCTGTCGTTTTGACGTCGCCCATATTTGCTCTTCATCAAATCGCTTCCTGCTCCACGAGCGTCACGGGATAGTCATGATCATATTGGTACATCCCCCGTAAAAAGCGAGATAGCTTCGTTATACCTCGACGGAATAAATGGCCGCCATGTGACAGAAGCAACGTGGTGCGCTGGAACAGCATGTTGATTCCAGAGTTCGGATCCTCATCAGAGAGGTGAGTTGTTCCGTCCAACACGACAATGTCCAGTGCAGTGGAGCGTAGCCATGATAATATCGACCATCTGCATCGGCTCTATTTTCCAGGAGCATTTCAACAAAAAGGAATGGAAATTGTCGAACTGTAGGTGTACGCATCGCCGAGGATGGTCTTCGCAAACGGAGTCTTTGCCATAAAGTCGAGCACAGTTTGGTGGATGAACTAGACAACTGTCGACCGGTGTCTATAGGGGCCGTGCACAGTAATTGTATGTATACATTCCGGCAAACCTCCATAGACGTTGAGGGTGTCCCACCTGATCTCGTCACGCTCGTTCGAAACTCGGTCATGGTGAGATGCAGCATCGCGCTAGTGTTTCTCGCATTCTCGGAAAGTCCTCCTCGAAGCGAATGCTGAGGCGTGAAATAAACTCGGAGGTATGACCAAATCCAGGCTATGAGACACTGTTTCCGAGAGCATGAATGGTCTGAAATGTGAATGCTGGGGGATCCTCGAAATGGGTTGCATATAAAATCCTTCCAAGCTTGCTGGTGGTTTGCTGACCAACTTTTCAAGCTCTTCTTGCGAAGGAATTGTTTGGACCGTTACAATCTCATCAATCGCGAGCTTCATGCAGAGAAAAACTCCTTGTGCTCTGGTAGCGACAAGGCGAACGACTTCCGCAGGCGGAAGTTTTTGGGTGAAAGTCGATCGATCTTCTGTGGTAAATGGATGTTGGAATGTCAGCTGCGATGGTCTGCTGATGGCGTATCGTTCTAGGTCTTGATACGTATGCTCGTGCAACGCAACCCCAGGCGCACAGTCGAAAGCCTTGACAAAGCTGTCCCATTCTCGGCTTGAAAAGCAAAACCTGACATTTGTCCGGCAAGATGAATGTTGTGACGTCGAAACGACATCGAGAATACACTGTGAGATGACTTCTGGAAATCCATGGTACTCATCCAACGCATCGAGGAAGATTGTAAGATCGAGATCGTAGTTTTCTAGAGCAAGTACTGCACCAAAAGTTTCTTTTATATCTTCAAAGTTCCAACGGTCACGAAGCCGTTGAGGCGCAGAACGGGAAACGTCGAGCCCCAGGTCAGCGATTACAGGTTCGTGGAGGATCAATTCATCCAGCATTCTCCGTACCCGTCCCTCCAAGAATATCTGGAGGTCCGTGCCTCTTTCGTTGAAGAAGCACAAGTCGATTTGTCTTTTTGCATACCCGCGACTCTTATTGCCTCCCTAAGCTGTTCTTTGCCGTGGAGGTACTTCACAAATGTGCTTTCCCGGAGCCTAGCTTACCACGGATCCAATATACACCCGTGCTTTTTGAGATCCAGGATTTGAAGCTCAATCCAGGCCTCTCAAAGATCCAGCCGAAGGTGGACTCATGGGCTCGTTCAATGGCCCTAAAGCGAAAGTTTCTTTACTCAAAATCTAGAGAACTCAGTACTTTGACAAGTCAGTTATGTACCATCTAAAGAACTACTCGGAGCTTACTTTTGGAGACCTTTATTTTCAATTCCGGGCCGGCTCTCAGGGCAGGATCAGCAGAGTTTTTGGCAGGGGGGACGAGCTCCTGTAGAAATGGTGTCGGTTCAGGGAATGCTGGCTCCAGCAGCGGGCCATCGTCACCCGCATCGGGAGTTTTTATGGCCTCATGCACGAAATTTCGGACAATAGGGTAAACGTCGTCTCTCGCGAACTTGGCCATATTTGAGTGATCTTTATTAATGGGAAATATGTCTTAGGGAATCCTGGAGCCGCATTGCACAGCAGATGCGCGCTGCGCAAGTACCTCAGACGCATTCTTCTTGCCTCACCAGTTGACTAGCACCTAGATTGCGGACTGTCACCATGTGTAGGCATTGAGGTTTCTAGTGATTGACTTCAGCTAAGGGTGTCTTTTCGGTCTTATAAGCCGACACAATCCAGATGCCGCGATGCTGTGCGATTCTAGAGAGCGTTTCGTAGCGCGTCAAGAGCCAACATTGGACGTTTGGGGGTTTCTCTGAGAGAGTTTCTACCAATTGTTTGTTGGGTCCCGATCCTAAGATGGTGAGTAAATGATCGACTTTCATTCCTCGGTTGGGTATTTCGAATGTCACGAACAACCTGGGTTGAAAGCATAGTCTGGAAGGGATCTCCAAGTGGACCACCGAGATATGTCAATGTGTTCTTCTCTAGAATACCGCCGACACTATGACCTAGAAAGATCAATGGTCTAGCCGAATACTCTGGCCGACCAATGGTTTGTAGATGAGATATAAAGGGACAAGCAAGATCGTCGAAAGATTGAAAGGGATTACTCCCCTCAAGCTTGGTATCCTCTCTGTAGATCATGCAGCGGAGAGTTAGAAAGTCGTCTGGGAATTGGTCTTGGAGCCACATGAATTGACGCTTTTCCAACAGACATCTGCGCCTCCAGGCCCCGAACGGATGACCTGGTAGGCCAGAAACAGCAATCAAGCTTGGTTAATGACCGGCTATCGGTGAACCCTGGTCACGTCACATACTCGTACGTACAATGATGCTCGTCGACACTGTATCCAGGTCAACAGGTGTAAATCCTAGAAATACGTGTCGAAGATGACAGGTAAGTGACTGCCTGTCAAGAAATTTACTTGGTACTTCTTCGCTTCGTATTAAATCTGGTCATGTGACCACCTGAGGTAAGGGCCCGATTTGTCTTAGACCATCTCTAGCATTGCCAACTTGCCCAGCCAGACATGCCAAGCCTTACCTAATTTGGACTAGTAGCTGGCTTCAGCGACACAGGCGCAGAGAAGCTCGCAGCGCTAAACAAAGTCGGTACATGAGATTGACTAACAAGTATGTTCTTGATCTTCCTCTGAGAAGCCAGATCGGTGGCGGGCAATCTGAGTTGATCTTTTCATTAGTGTCTGTCAGTCACCCCCATGCCCGACTTCCATGACCATGCCGTTCGGAATGCTCTCGATCCTCAGAATCGTTACAGCATCTTCCGTGCACATTCAACGCCATGCATCAAGATCCCTAGCTCAATCTCGTGATGGTATCCGGGATACGAATCCCTTGGAATCGCTCAAGGAGACTTCAAGAAGCTTTTGCCATTCCTGCGGTGCTGTGCTTGCGAGTTTGATACGTTTTTACGCAGGATTGTGGACGGATGTAGACGGGGCCTTGAGAGGCCCTCTTAACATGAGATGGACAAATAAGGCTCATTTCCAACTTGTTTAAAGCGCTTCTAGGCACCACCTCCCTCCGCTGAGCCTGATACCACGCCACTTGCCCTCAAACGCTCTCATGTCGACCAGACGTGATAATCATGAGGAATAGGCTGACAAGGACACCCATACCTACTGCCACCGGTGGCAGCAATAATGCAAAGACCGTGAATCCATACGAGGCATTATTGAAGGATCCATCATTGTGGAGCTGACTTGTTCCGGGTCCAACCTGCATCGCGGTGAGGATGATTGTCAGACGGGCAAAGACCGCCATCAGGCAAGCGAAGTTCCGCTGAAGCAATCACTCATATGTCGTGTTCGTGTAATGGTGGCCTCGGACGACATGCGCAAGCCGATATACAGGATGGGAAACGGTGGATAAAGTGGATGCGACTGAGACGTAGCTCCCCGAATCGAAACCTCGGTGAGCAGGGTATTGTGCCCGCGGCTGGCTGATGGGCGAGGACAACGAGCCTCTCGCTCGGCGCTTGCCAATCTTTTCATCCTATATTCTCTGGGAGCAACTGCTTCTCTTTAGCCATGTATAAATTGCTCTTGTAGTTAATCAAGCGCAGACACGAGGCCAGAGAACCGTTGACGGCTCTCTCAGCCCGACGGCGCTTAGAGACGTGAGCTTGGGTAAAGCCTTCATGCACGAGCCAGCCGGGTAGTGGTTTGATGAACATAGGATGGTCCTCCCACATTAGATGCAAATCCAGTTGCTCACTGATGACGATTCCACGACCCAGAAGACGTTGGTGGTGGTATGGACGGATATTTCCCACCCCACCAGCCCAGGGGAGGCATCAGTCGACCATGTGGTCGAGTCGGGATAGGTCCAGCTCGCTTGAGATAAACAGACTGATGTCCGTGAGCGGTTGGAATTCTGCGTTGGTGCGAGAGTCCTACAAGGTTGGGAAGTCAGCATGTACATGCGGCACGACAGTACTCTGGATTGTTGATTCTGGGGCCATGGTTATGGGAGCGAGTCGTTCGAAGATTCGGGAACGCTGCGATTCAGTCAATCCCCGAAGTTCATGCTCGCTTCAGCACGCAATGTGGCTTGGAAAGGGCGAACTATAATGTGGTGTTGTTATCGACCACACAATGTATGAGAGGGTCAGTTTTGAATTTCCACCGTTGCTACAAGTCACACAAACCGTTCCCGGGTATATGCATGACCTTGCCATCTCCCCTGCCGATTAAATCATATTCATCTCCCGCGCCCGCTTCTGCCCAAAGTAGGCCCATTTACTGTCCGCCATCGCAAAGGTCGTGATTCTGGGGGGAGCCGACTTAGGGGTCGGCGGTAAGTTGCTGTATATCTCGTATATTTCGTTCATGCTATCTCTGTCTCGCTGGATTCTGGGAAGACGGTCCCTGTTCGATGGAGGCAGGGGTGGAGGTGTTTCTGCTCGGATGAAGTCTTCCGCATGAGTCTTACACTCCCGAGGTAAGCGCACTGAGTGCTCTACATCAGGCGTTTTGGGACGTCTTATCATCGGGGATAGTGACGATGCTGACGTCCTTGCTTGACTGATATTATCCTTAAACTCCAGCTCTTGGGGAAGAGGCGGATTCTCTGCTTCCGGCGTTCCGGGATGTGTGATTGGTGGTATCGAGCCTGGTGCTTCCAGTATTGGTGTCTGAGATCTCGCGTTGGTTCCCGGGGACACTGCGGTTTCTGTCAGTGGCAGAGACACGTCATTGTCCGGTCCAACCTTCTGCAGTCTTCGAGCTTCAAGTCTGGTTTTGACTGTGTGATATATCGCGAACAAGAACGTCAAGGTGCTGAAAGTGCCAACAACCCCTAGGATTATGAGCGCGGAAAGTGGGAGCATTTTGTGGGCCGTGAAAGTAAGAAGACGCGATTTCCTGCAAATGAATAGGCTTTGACCAGCATTAAAACCAGCATGGAGAGGGGACGAGTCACGGTAGTTGACAGATTCGAGGTCGGACGTGACTTTGATGTGACCGGAACAAAGAAATGTCCTGTAGGTCAACGACCGCAAGGACAAAGGTCCTTGAACGGTTTCGGCGTCTCGCGTTGTTGACTGGGCTGGTGCTGTAGCCTGATTGCTCACTTGAATCTGAAAGTCTCGCAATTATTTCGATGATCAGGGTCGGAAATACACTGCACTGCACTTGCTCTGTCAGAAAGAGTAGATCTGGGGAGCTATTTGCGATTTATGTCGTGATTGGGTTTGCGATAGCGTTACCAAATATTTCGTCGTCCTCTGCTCTTTGAGCTGCTTTCTTCTTGTCGCGTCGAATCTTGAGGGCAAAAAGATAGACGATGGCGAGAATCAGTATAACTCCAGCGAACATCGAGATGAATAACCATGCGACCGCGCTCATCCTAAAATCGGAGGCTGACATTGTATATCTTCAACAGATTACTTTAATTTAAATTGTAACACAGGTGCGAGGAAATGGACCAAGAAAGCAAAGCAGCTTGCACAAACCTTTAAACCCGATACAGAGCCTCGTTCAACCTTGGGATCTGCTGGATCTCTTTGTGGGCTATTTCTGGATGGAGGACCAAATCTTTGTCCGAGAGATCAAAGGATCACCAGTATGCGCCATTGATCGAAGCATCGCGGCATGCCGCTAGCGGCAGCCGAAGGTGCTTCCATAATGCTATGCAGCAGAAAAGGCTTGAATTCATGGACTGAGTTTTGTTCTCCGAGGAGGAGCATGTCAACATCACCGAGTGTTCCCAGTAAGGAGAGAGAGAATCCGCCCTGTGGGCATGGAGGAGATCCAAATCGAGACTATGACACATGGCCGACTTCTGTACAATGTCGGACTAGCAATAATAGGAAGGTAACGTATGCGGTCAAACATGAGCACCGGCAGGACGGAGCAGGATATGTGTACTCTATTCTGCCTTGGAGTTTTGTAGACGAGCTCGCCAGCTCTAGAATCTTGAGAAACCTTGCCAGTAATTCAAAAGACAACGTCATTTGATTGAGGTGTGCATTTTGCCGGATTAGGTTAGTTTCAACTGAGATCGCCTGATCGCGACTTTCTAAAAGGTCCGCAGAACCAGAACCGCGTCGAGCGCGCAGGTTCCAGCCTCAACTCTTCAACTTCACACCCATCATTGTTACCCGATCAAGTAGTTTGTCGGCCCGCCCTACCTGATTCAGTCAACAGCTATTGACATTATCTATCTCTGTTGACCGTGCACATTTCCGCAGTCACAGAGCTCCAACTCACCTCTACGAAAATACTAGCCATGTCATTCCCCGTTCCAACCAGACGCTTGACGTCTGTGATCCCATCCATATCACATCGCGCATTCTCAACGACTCGCCCTACTCGCCTTGCCCGCATGACGCTGGTTGGCAGACTCGGCGCAGACCCAGAACTCACAGACACGGGCAAAGGCCAAGTGATCAAATACGTCGTGGGCACCAGTTATGGACCCAAGGAAAATCGTCAAACATCGTGGTTCCGCGTCGCCAGTTTTGCACCGGAGGGCTCACCCCAGCGAGATCTGGTGATGGGACTGACCAAAGGGTAAGCACAGCAAAGATCAATCCACCATATGCTCCCGAAAATTTGCTGATTGATGTCGCTTAGGACGCTGGTCTATCTTGAAGGAGATGCCACCATGCGCACCTACGAGGATTCAGATGGCAAGAAACAGAGCTCATTGAGTCTGGTCCAGACGAAAGTGGAAGTTTTGAAAAGACCGCAGCCTAAGGAGGAGGAGATCGCGCCCGAAGCCGCCAATGCTTAATAAGGGCCAGGAGGGTTGACAACTTCAACATGGGACGATTTCATGTATGCATTTATTCGTCGCTTGAGCGAGGACATTAGACGTCATGATGCTGTTTGTGAATGTTTTATTGGATCTCTTCTCCGTGTGCATTTGCCACTCATGTGGTTAGTGAAGCAGTGATGGCTGGGCCAGTCACCTGCCAACAGGATTATCTAGGAAAGATATGTATTGCAAAGGCAAAAAGGTCTGTTATCAATACTTGTTCCAGCAGCGCACCTTCCATTGATCAAAAGTCTTGAGTAACGAGCTCTGAAGCACCTGTTTGTTCCCGAGGCTGATGCGGCGGAACTGGGGCGTGATTTTCCTCTAGAGGGTAGCCGTCCATAACGAATGCCAAAACTGCCTCATTTCCAGTCTGGGGACTATTGCGAGTTGTGCGAGGCAACTGCTGTGATAACTGGGCCCTCTCCTTGAAGTGTCCGCCTAGGAAGCAGCTCGCTTTTTCAGCCCAGCCCTTGTACATCCGAGTTGCATCCTCACCAAGCCCGAAGCATGCGAATGAGACATATGCCGTAAAGATTTGCGCCCACCGGTCGAAGGAGAAGCCTTGAGAGGCTGGTTTCAAGGCGGAGTCTGGAACCACGATGATTCTTTCGGACCAGTCGGAAGGATGAATGTATGACCAAGAGAACATGTGCATGGGCACCTGGACATTCTGGACGAAAGCAAATATGGCCAGAGGGCAATATATTGCCAGAAGGACGAATGCAAGGGCGAACAACCGGAAGAATCGGGAGGCTGTGGAGCCGGGAGTGTGCGAAAGCAGAGACGACACTTGCTTCCGATGCCGCCAGAGGCGAACGACTGAGACCAGACAGTAGACGCTTCCAATGAGACAGACGACCATTGGCCATCCATAAGTCACGAAAGGCGCGACCCAGTTGTTGTCGAAGAGCGCTACACATCCAGCCACTGTTCTAAGCCAGTATCTTCCTTTCTGGACAATGTAATGGCCGACCATGACAAGCGCAGGCAAGAGTATGCAAAAGACGAGCTCGATTATGCGGTTGACTCTGCGCTGTCGTGGGCAGGGGGTGACAGTCATGCGGTCTGCGTCGAGGATTGTCGAAATCTGTCGAAAAAGGCTCGCAATCGCTCCTTCAATGGCCTGGAAAATCCCAATGTAGAGTTTAACTTCAATATCACACAGTATTTTCCCATCCCACCAGTCGTCGGGGTTGTCAGACGCCCATATTACAGCATTGACAAGGTTCTGGATATTCAGCATCGTGATTCCGATCAGGAGAACCGAGGCCGCAAAGTTCTTAGCGCGCAATTGAACAACCATGGGAGGAAGAGCTGCGAAGATAGCCAATAAGGCCAGTGGCACGACGATGATAGAAGAAGTGTTCCATGCCATCCTTCCTGTGTCAAGCAGATACGCTCTTCTTGCAAACAGAAAGACAAAAGGAGCGGAAAGATGAGTAAAGGACAGCGCAAATGATTTCTCTCGTGTTCCTCCTGCCATCTCGGTAGTTTTCGTTCCCTTTGACTCAACTTACACTGAAGCATTGGTACATATGGTTGCACTGGTGGGGCTTCTCAGATATCTCAGAGACATCTTTCCCGAAGCGGTGTTGAATAAGGCTCTGCATAAAGGGGCAGGCTCTAGCGAACTGGCGCTCGTACGTTGTGAGCATCCCTTCATTACATCCGAGAATGCACGTAAAATATTTGCACATAGAGTGCTATCCTTGCGGGGTTTGGAATGTTTCATCGGCAGGTCAGAGTTGCCCAGACGTTCGAGGCGAGATCCAATGCCTACATTATTTGTTGAGTATCTCGTGGATGAGGAAGTCAAAATCCCATTTGCCGTGATTGGCCTCGAAATTGAAGTTAGTGACAAGGTACCTTATCATGAGTCTGAACGATGTTTTGGCTTTGGATCGGTGTGATTGAGGCGAATATTGTGAAGGCGAGGTATTACTCGATAGAGGATGAGACTATTCCCCAGTACGACTCGAAGCGTGCCGGGTGCCAAGGGCTTCGGCAATTTCGGAGTATATTTATTCCGGCACGCCTTGCGCTCGTTGTCGCCTAGTCTTATCCTGGGTGCATCATCATCACGAGCATTCAGCTTCTCTGTCGATGCCACTCCTTTCACTTTTCCAAGCATTATGACAGGCGCATAAGGTTCCTGGACTCTTTGATATCCTATTGAAGCGGCGATTGTCTTTTTTCTCTTCTTTCAATTCAAGCACCTTCAAACGCTTAAGGATGTGGTGACGCGTCAAAGCTCTGCGGAATTCGTATCCGCTAGACTTCCTCCCTGTGCCCATCTTGGCCCATTTACCATCGCCACGAAACACTATTTTCACCTCAGGACCTGAATCATGGCATCGGAAAAACCTCCTTCTATTACCCTCCCTCCGCATGTTTCATCCGGCCGACAAGTTAGTCCTTCGCCACAGGGCTTGAGGCAGCGACCTTCGGGAAGGGCAGCTACCTTTGCTGAAGGAAACCCTCAACTCAATCGTCGACGAAGCTCGTTCCTCTCTGAAACTCTTTCTGAGACGCGCAGATCGTTGCGGTCATCTACGGACGATATATTACTGCCACGGGCGAGGGACGATCATGACTTTCACGATCACGACGACGATTCTCATTGGCAGTCCCTGCCTCTTGGTCTTGCCCTACTTCCCGCTGTTGGTGGCATGTTCTTCAAGAACGGGAGCGCTGTTATCACGGATGTGACGTTGCTAGGCCTAGCTGCCATATTCATGAACTGGGCCCTCAGGTCGCCTTGGTAATTGTCTCGATCTTTTTGTGCTTGGAGCCCCGACTTATAACTGATCCAGGGACTGGTATCATGCAGCGCAGACCCCTGTATTGGCAGATTCAACCACTCCTCCCGTTTTCACGCCGATTGACGAAGCGGATGAGGATCAGGATCCGCTATCTCTGAACGGAGCCGGCGAAGACGGCATCAGAAACTTCAAGGCTAGCTCTAACAGTGCGCGTGCGAAACTTTTCAATACACACGGCGCAGCTGCTCAGAAAGAGCTTCGTGTCCATGAGCTTCTGGCACTGTTTTCCTGTTTTGTATCCCCTCTCATCGCTGCCTGGCTTCTGCATAGCATCAGATCCCAGCTCTCTAGGCCGTCCGAGGGCTTGGTCTCGAATTACAATCTCGGCATATTCATATTGGTGGCCGAGATTCGACCCATCTCTCATCTGATAAAAATGGTGCAGCGGCGAACCCTATTCCTGCAGCGGCGAGCGAACATTGATGTTCTTAAGGAATCAAGTCGCATGGACAATCAACAAATTCGCGATATCTCGCGCAGGCTAGACGACCTTGAGGCGCATGTTGCGGATCGCATTGCTGGCACCGGAAAGCAAAAAGAGGAACAAGCTAACGGAGCACTGGTAGCCCAAGCCTCTGCGGCAGCCACTTCCGAAGTTAAGAAAACTGTGCAGCCGGAGCTAGACGCCCTGAATAGGGCCATGCGACGCTACGAAAAGAGATCAACCATCTCGTCCGTGCAGATTGAAGCAAGGCTGCAAGACCTTGAAACACGTTTGCACGACGTCGTGTCTCTGGCTGCCGCTGCGCAGCGCAATGCCGATCGGATCCCTAACAACTACATTCTCATCTTGGGAAACTGGATCTGTGGTGCGGTTGTCATTCCTGTACAATACCTGCTCTATCTGTCAAGTCTTCCGTCAAAGGCAGTAGCATCAATCGTCGCAGTGCCCAAAAGGTACCTGACAAAGAGCTCAAGAGCCCAAACAGCAAAAGACGGCCGAGCATCTCGTAAGGGCGTGCTGCCACGTTCTGGTGATCGTGAAAGAAGAGCGAAAGTGCCACCCTGAAACAAGTCAAATTACCAATCCCCCGGCCTCCGAACAGCCCGTATGCTGCGGCTTGTCGCCATGTCCCTCTGACACACGGTCTTTTGTGACAAGAACCGACTTTGCTAATCTAACTGCACTCCTATAGTGGGCGGCTTTTAGAGGGGCGGGGTCCTCTCAAGTGTTCGAATGAGGCTATCTGATATTCCAGCCTTGATATCCAGCCCAGGCACACAGGCGTCTCCCGTCGGCGACTGGTGACAGCGTCCGATTGCCCTCTTTTATGGCTGGTCAAAGAGAGCACGCGCTTCCATTTCCTTCACTGAACGAATTTATGATATCATTACTCTCGACTGTTACAGGCTTCAGGACTTAGCTTCGAGGAAGCTACAATTCACTGCGATGGCACATTTAGCAACAAAGCGATCGGAATGTATGTCTATTTCTTCATCCTATCTAAGTCACGGCACTCATCTCTATCCTAGTACTCTTCATATAATATCAAGCTATCTAAGGAGCTAAAGCCGGCGGCAACCCCGCCTTCGTCGCTATCCTTGCCTTTGGTCCTCAAGAGGTACCCGCCCTCCGTGTTCTGCAGAATCTCGGGCTTCGTTTCACCCGGCGTATTTCTCCAAAGACAAGTACCAAATATACCCAATTCGGAAATGACGTTGCCGCTGACGACCTGTCCGTCACTCCGTAAAACGGTATTTTTAGCCGCGGTGGGTGGACGGATTAGCTCCATCAAAATGTACTGCTTCCACTGGGATTTAGGGATGGAATTTAAGAAGGGCGGGATGTTGGTGCGGTAGGTGTTGTTGCCGCCTCCCTCACGTTGTGGCTTTAGCACGTGGTTTGCCGCCGTCTCGGGGGAGAGGGCTAGGCGGATTCCTTCTGGTTCGTCTGATGCCTCAGAGGTGGGAGCTGAGAGGGAATATTGTGGTGCGAAGGTCGAGCGGAGGTTCTGAAGCACACTGTCCGAATGGGTTGGCAGGAAGGTTTTGAGGTGGTCGGTGTCCGGGGGTCGAGATGTAAGAACCTGTTGGACTTTCTTGGAGCCGGAAAGATGAAGGAGGATGCTGGGGCATTTTATTGCTGCGCTGCGTTCCAGGTGATGGCGAGCTGTCCACGACGTAGGTGTGTTATATTCCGTTGGAGCGTAG